ATAAATTAAGAGTACATACGATTTTGACAATTGTTATTATAAATTATGAGTACTTACGATTTTGACATTTGTAATAAATGTAGTCTTAAAATATAATATAATTATGCAGTTATAAACGAATAAAGGAATGCTTATTTATCAAACTATATATTGCGTGTCATTTTATATTACCAAAAATACATACAGACTGTACGTATTCCCGTTTACAATACCAACTATCTAAAAAAGATCACCCTTAACCTTCATGTCAAAGTGTCCATTTACTGGGTTAACTTTAGAATGCGTACCAGTATGTACATACTGCAGTACATACTGCATTAATTATTGTGGTTTCGATTGGATTAACGTTTTCATGAAAATTTTGAAAATGTACATGTATTTAAAAGTAAACTATTGTGAGATGAACAAATAAAGCAATTTACATATTGCACTTGGCACTAAAATCCAAGAAAATTACAAAAAAGTGGTCAACATATGCAAACAAACAGTCCTTACTGCGTTAGTAACGCAGTAGACATATGGTGATAAAATACTGCAAAAGTAGACTTAACCATAATATAACATATAAAATATCATTTGGATCTTGAATGTTTTTACTTTTCTTAAAAGTTTAGTATATTTTTCTCAATATTGATTTTCTTGAAATACTTTGGCTCATCTGGAGGCGTGCAGCTGTAAGAATGACGATAAGAAGTAAAACTTAGTATCTATACATGTAACTCAAACGCTTTTGTTTTGATGTTCCTTTAATTTGGTATATAGGGGACATTGTGTTGTCATTATTTTTTGTAAATAGGTACTCTAGCTTTTAATTTATGGAAACGAAAATTGACCCCCTTAGATATAATGTATATACCCAGTATGAATGATATCTGATGAATATAAGGATGTAAGAAAATGTTCATTACATGTCTATCAAGATATAATCTAGTGCAGTTATCTTTTTCTAATTTTCTTTTATATAGATAATAGGTGTATGCTAAAGTTTACGAGTAAAGACATCATGAAGGAAGGAATATAGATAGATGTTAGATAATATTCAAACTGGAGTGTTAATGGCTTTACATTAGATAGGAAAGAATCGTTAGAAAACGCAGCCATGAGTCGTCTGGAGACTTTTGTTGTTATTGTGACGATTTTTTTATCTACTGTCCAATTCAAACAACTCAAGGGCAAAGTGTCCGAAATTTTCTAGTATAAAATAGATAAATACAGAATCCCTAGAGAAAACCCAACACGACAAAATTTAAAATGTTGCAGGCTCGGTTTGATTGAGCCTGTTCATGGACGGTACTGGAAAGTGCAAGTTACCGTCCACGCCCCCTAGCACCGGCTTAAGCATAATTCAACATTGAAACATGAAATAGTAAAATTTTGAATTTAGAAACATCCGCAGATGTGTTCATACGGCGGTTATCATGGAACCTTCAATGTGACACTTCCTTGCCATTCCATGAAAAGCGGCGTATGGTCCCCAAGTAATAAAAAGTGTGTGCCCTAAACGAGAAAACAATGGGCGGAACTAATTAAAATGGAATTTTGAAAGGGGATCAGAGGTTATGAAGTAAGAGGGCAATGATTGCCCTAGATCTTTTACCTATGATCAATTGTTTGAAAAAGGTCATAATAAAATCGTTGCAGACATGAACTTCTATGGCATTGAACACTAACACTTTGCAAGAAGAAGCTTTCTTGAAAGTAGATATATTTTCTTTTCTACTCTCTTTTCAAATTAGGTTGAGGTTCATTTTGTCAATTATAGATACGTTGTTTCAAGTCAATAAAGATTATTTCTGTATACAATTTCTAATGCAGATGTCTTCTGTTTACGCCTATCTTAACTGTCAAGTTACCTTTATTGTGTTATTCAAATACTAGTACACGTTGTTCAATGTTAATGAATTAAAATCTAAAGGAAAGACAATACTAGTGTAAGTGTACAGCAATATATGTTGTCTACCATATCAAATACAATTAACATTTAAAATATCAAGGGAAGCTAAAAACATATCGCTAATGGTCGAATATAAAAAACAGTAACAACAAATATAAGGGGGCGTTGATTGTAGCTTAAAATTATCTCTGCCGTCCTAAAAGTAATTAAAAAAAGAATTGTAAAAGAATGCCAAACAGCAAGATTAAAAAAAGCTTCAGGTTTGTTTTGATGTTTGTTCATGGACGGCAGTGGTCGGTTTGATTGTGCCTGATCAGGTGTAAGTTAAAGCTGCCGTCTACGCATCTATGTACAATGAAAATTCTAAAGTTCTGTTCCAAATGTTTTTTTTTCTGTTTATTTATATCATATTAAATCTCAACATAATTATTCAAGATATGTTCAATGAATAAACATGTTTGAAACAATTGAAAATTTTAAAAAGGAAATACCAAAATGGGCGATCGACAAAGCTCCCCTTTAAAAACAACAAAGAACAAACAACATACATACGAAGCAACACAGAAATACAGGTTAAAGACGATAAAAACGTTTCAGATAGACAATTAGTCAATGATAAACATATATTTTTTTAAGTAATCGAATTCATTTAGGTAATTATTGATTATTGATAATCTTAAATTTTAATATCTTGTAAAAGTCCATTCTCAGACTAAACTTAGTTATGAGTATTAATTTTAAACCGAACGAATAACACGGATTTACACAAATTTATATCTCACATCGTTTCAAAAGATCAAAAGAAGTAAATCTTAATGCCTAAAAATTAAAAAGTTTTTGAATGTTTTGTATTATGAATCAAGGGATCGAATCCCCTTAATCATTAAAACAATAAAAAAGTCTCTTCTAAAAGGCTCGGTAATATATCGTTTCACTTTAACGCATTCCTAACATCGTCAATAGAAAGTATCTATGCTGAAGCATGAGAATCGAACAAAAAAAGTTTTATCTTCAATATCACTGTACGAAACCAACTGTATTAGCCTCTAGACGTGATTTAGCTTACTCATTGGTACGCGTTTTACTTTTGAGGCATGGAGGAGCACGTGACCTGTTTTCGGTACATGGAGGAGCATGTGGTCTGTAAACCGTACATGATTGGTTAATTGACCTTTTCGAAAACCTAGCTAAATACCGTTTGCCGGTACGTTACGGATTTACCTGTAAACACTTTCAATATGATCTACGTAAATAACCGAGGTATATCGAGTGAAAAAATGCGAGTTGCTTCCCTTATCTTCGAGTAAAATCGATATCGCTTATGCTAAAACAATACAAAATAAAGTTTCCTTTTAAAAGGAAAGGCTTGCACAGTTGTGTTTTCATCCCAACCCTTTAAAATTGTTTTTATTTTTGGGTTTCAATTTATTATCACATTTTTTTTTTGAATTACGGTATTTGTATATCATAAAGGGTTTATTTAGTTGTTGTTTTTTTGGAAAACCGAATATTTTTTTGTCAAAACGATTTAGATCTATTCTCTATTGTATAAAACTAATAAAGAAAATGATCAATCGTAAAAATATTAACGAGATACTGAAGGAAAACAAGTTTGCACATCTCATTTCCCCTTTTTCGCAGCGAAATCATTCCTTTGCTTTATAGACAAGTAAATGCACTAGAATACTTCGTTACGTGGTACCAATTAATAAGCATGTATCAACTATGGTACATAGATCAGCACGTGGCAAGGTTAATGATATGCATTGGCTATTTTTAGATTACCTCACCAAGAAGTTGAATTGCGTTCAGTAGATCTAAATATAACTCGATCATGCGTGATTTGGTAAGCAGACCACCCTTTGAAGACGGAAAAATACTACAGTCACCATTCTCTATTGTATAAAACTAATACAGACAAAAAAACAATTATAAAAGAAACTAACTTTGCGTCTTGAAAAACAAATGAAACGGAACAATTTCGTTTACAATTTATTACGGTTTTAAACCGATAAATCAAGTAAAAATAGAAATCCTATTTGTATACACAAACTGGGATTACCGAAGTAACTAAAATAGCTTAGATTTCCGTAATATTACTCCGCAGTATGACGGAATCGCCCGAATTGTCACGATTGCAATCGGAACTACATCGGCTATTATCATTAATCCGAAGACTGACGGAAAAGGCCGAAAAGTCGCGATTGGCACGATTGCAGCTGCTTTCCCGTTCAATCATGCACCAACAGATGTAAGCAGGAAACCACCTAACCGGAACAAGTTTTCCAGATGAAATGGCTTGCAGCCGTGGCTCACGGCTGCAAGCCAATAAGCTGTTTTTAAACCGCTAATTTGTTGTGATTAAATGTCCGATTTTAAAATGTATTACACCAATAGAAAGCTTTGGATCTTAGCTTCGTCACTGTATAAAATTCAACACATCTTTGGACTTCAAAGTATTTTAATTAACTGTTAAATCTACCATATGTCAGACCATTTTACATACGATTTATACAGTGAGATACGCAATCCGTTATCTTTACTCGAAATTCTACTGATATGAAGAGCCAGTCGTCTGCTAGTTCTGAAAGTGTTTATCGGTGTTTATTTCTAATTTTCTATAATTATTTTACCGTTAAAGTTGGAAAAAACTTGAATGATATAATTGAAAATTATCAATGTTTCTTTAATATCTATCTCAAACTTTATAATAAATTGTTTAAACTGAAAATCTACAAAATTAAAATATCCGCAGTGGCATCAGCCATAATAAATAGAGATATTTTCTGCGTAAACTTGTGTGTTTACTTTATTTATTTTTTGCTCGGAATTATTCATAAACTGAAGGCTTATTTAATCATTTTCTTAAAAAGAAATAATTGTTTTATGCATGACCTTCTCCGGTCTTCAACGGTCACCAGTTTCCAAAGACCTTCTTCCATAGTGATCGTTTATTCAACTTTATCCCTGATACAAACGTTTATTTATCCCCCCACCCCCAAATAATGTTGAAAATAGTTAAAAGAAATATCTTTATATATATCATTAAAATGTTCACCGCAGGAAACCATTTTACTTGTTGGTTATACTGGATAAAGAAAGGAAAACATGTACATGGCATTCTCTTTTTAATGTCAGCATTTAAGTGATCAGTGTTTAAAACACAACAAGAATAAAGATCAACAAGGCAAAGGCAACGTTCACAGGACGTAGCCCCCCCCCCCCCTGACACACCCAAGACAGGCATCCATAAGGCACCAAACAAAACCCGGAGTGGACATAAGAGCGGGAAGGAGAGGGACATGTGATGTGTGAAATAATATCAATTAAAACAGGCCCATATTGGAATTAAAGGGATAAGGGCTGTAAAGGCGAAAAAGGGAAGGGATAAAAAATATGGAGGGGGAGTGGGGTGAGACAATACCTACCGTAAACGACAATCCAACAAGGCAGACATCAAGTCTTGTAATGAGATAAATTTACGTCCTAAACAACGCTGGTACTATTACTTGCCAGAATGATGATCTATTTTCATGAATTCACAAGGCATTGTGATGTGCGAACATAATACATTTCGAAAGTCCGTATTTTATATCATGTAACGATTATTGAAGTTATGTATGTACTTAATCCTAAGGTACAAATTAACGAATTTCAGTAATGTACTGATTTATACGACTAATTTGTTATTTATTGACAGAACAAAAATAAAACAATGAAACAAGATTTATCAAAACTGTATCATCTTCTGAACAATAACGTATGATATCTGTGATATGTCTAAATAAGTTATGGAGATTTTGAATATGTGATTTTTCAATATTTCTAACTTTGATTGTCATTGACGTTTCGAAGCAAAATTTCAGCTTTTTATCAATGCACATTTAAGTATAAAAATATTAATTTTGAAAAGGTTATTAAACACAACGTTTTGAATAGAACCAAGCTATGAATAAAGCATAGCAGAGTCACAATATAAGCTATAACTAAACACTTGATAAACATAAGCTCAAAAATCTTAATTGTATATTTACGTTATTTTTACGGTGTCGCTTTTTAGTCAAATCTTAATGATATTTACCATTATGTGAACTGCCACTTTTGCAAACATGTTCCCTGCCCTCAAGCGTAGTGGGCACTTAACCTCGTAAAAACGTGATTAAGTGCTATGAGATAAACACGTTCGTTAAAGCAAGTCATTTAAAAAAGGTTACGTCATGCGCAGGGAGTCATGTAAATGTCATCGGGGCCAACTTAAAAAACACCCTTACACAACTTACCCACAACAACAACAATAACAAAAGAACAAAGAGACACAACAAAAACAAACAAACAAAAAACAACAACAAACATAAATACAAAATTTATGTTTCTGCATGCATAGTCTCTGTAACCTAGCTTGAATATATAACTTTTCAAAAAAACGTAACATTTTGGCAGGAAAAGTAACGTGACAAACACGTGCACAGACACATGAGTTCGCAGTAGAATCAAATTTCAATATTGTTGAATTTGAATGAAACTTGTTTTGAATCAATAAAAGCCTAATTATGACAAAGTTATTCCTTATTAGTACTTAGTTTCACCTAGTAGATCTTAAATAGCAAACAACAATGACTTAAAAAAGACTTCTGCTGAAGTACAGTTTACGATGTTTTAAATCTTTAGTCAGTCAAATCATTATTAACATAATTATGGATATAACACACTTAAAAACACCAGGGATCAAAACAACCTCATGTGACGGAGTTAAGTGATGCATAGACTTCAGTAGTTTGAACCCAGTAAGTTGTCTCTTACGATCACGCACAGATAAACGTTGGCTGCAATTTTGATGTCTTAACCCTTTTAGGCAACCCCTCAATTGGATTCAAATTAAGCTACGTAGGCATATGAGGAAATAACAAAAATATAATCTTTTGCTTAAGAATCATTCAATACTCAAACAGTAGACTTATTATTACCAAAAAGTGATTAAAACCTTCTTTTAGGAAACTTATATAGAGAAATTGATATCAAAGTGTGAAAAAGCCGAAATAAACATAATTCATGATACTAGTATCATATACATGTCTTACCAATCATAAGGCTTCTCTTAGATGTCGAATTGTACACACTATAGTAACACATTCTCACCTTTTAACAAGAGACGATTATCCATTTTGTATAGCATAATATTTCACTTTGAATTTTTTTCTTTTTTTTTAATGATAGTTTTTTTTCGAAAAATTTCACGTAAAGATCTTTTTGAAATAGTTCAATTAAAAAGCTCAATCAATTAATTAGAGAAAATAACCTTATATTCTAAGATTTACGTTAAACATTAAATAAACGTGTACTGACACTTTAACCTTAATAATAATAGTGCTCGGCGCGGTAAGACCAGTATCAAAAACAAACAAACAAATGACGAACGATCTAACAAACAAACAAACAAACAAACAAACAAACGAACACAAAAGCGAACAAATATGTGTTTAAATTGAGCGAATGTTTGCGAAAAAAAATCATAAAGAAAACATGATTATAATTAATATCTGCACTTTTTCAAAATATGTTAATAATATTCCTTCCACAAACACATTTTCTCTATATAAACAGTAGTTTGAAGCGTTCAAGAAACGACTTCTTTTTTACTGCTTCTTCACCAGCCCTTTCTGTGAAATTTCTTTCGAATTCACGCATTTTCTTTTCCATGTGTGCATTTCGCTCAGCTTCAAGTTTCTCAAACCTTTGATCGAACATAAGCTTAACGCTTTTGTTTAATTCTTTTTCCAAAAGCTCTGCAATTGAAGAACATTATTTAACTATTCTAATTTACTGTACTACATCTTTAGTAAATTGTGAGAAAAATAACAAATTTGTTATTTGATATTTATTGAAAGATATCTTTGAATTACCTCTAAAAAACGAAATAAACTCATTTTTAAAAAATTACAAATAATATAATTATTTTAGAGTAGCATTGTGGTGTGATATACGTTTATAATAATGTAATAAGATATAGTCACTAACTTATCACAACGTCATTATTAAAGAACATAATTGAAAACGAGAAATCTTTAAATGTTTTGGAAAAGTCAGAACTGATGATAGAATCATTATCTATGGACAATAACGCACTGAATGTTATCAAAGTAACACATTGTAAAATGCTCCTTGTGATCTACACAACCACCTTTACAAAAAGTTGCAATTTTAAGGTAGAACATCCATAATGGGCACTATAAGGAACTGTAAAATTGACAACATAGGACAGTTATATGCCTTAAATGTCACCTGTATGCAAAATTTAAACAAAATTTACCGTGTGGTTTATGAGTTATTGACATTTTTCTGAACTAAAACTTTGCTATTAGAAGGGTTTTTTACGGAAATGAGGAAACTCTAAAAAAGCTGTAATATCATCATTATGAAAATGTTTTCCTATCGCTCATTGTTGAGAAACAAATAATGTCATTTAGGTAACAAATTAAACAAGCAAAATGATTATTTTTAAACGAAATGTTTTTAATATGTATAAAAATGTAACCCCGACCCACCCACTTTTAACACTTAAATGACAATTTCCCTATGTAATAAGCCTTATTTAAAATATCCCTAAAATTTTCCACAATGACGGGCTGTTTTCAAAGTTTGCCTAAATTTTCTTAAATGTCTATTGGTTGGTTTTGCAAAATATAAAATACTTTTACCGTGTATTTTTTATTTTATTAAATTTTGAAAATATCTGGTAACATATTTGCTATTAAATTTGGCATTATTTAGTAAATATATCCCTACAATAATTATATAATTAAAATGAAACACTTTTTTCTTCCATTAAGGATCTGAGAGATTAATAAAAATGTTAAAAAGGAAAAAAAGAAAGAAAAAAAAGTTGCCTCTTCTGGGGTTTGAACCCATGTCCTTCAGTTTCAAAACAATTTACAGTGATTCTAGCCTATTTGAATACTCTTCAAAGTGGAGATACTGCATTAGGGGTGTACTACCTTAATGTTTCAATTTACGTTCTTGGTAACTCGAAATATTTTTTTTATTAACCTACAATGACCGACTCTGATGGACCAGTGATTAATTGTCGTTGTCTCTAGGTTTTATGACGATCAGTGTGAATCTTGTTGCAGGGTATCATTTTTCTATTGCCGAATTTTATTAGTTATTGTTTGACCATTTGTTCGCGTTCTCACACGCGGTTTAATGTATGGAGATGTATTGATCAATATCAATGTGTGATCGGGTTTAAGTGGGATCTGGTTGATAAGATTTAAACTGCGATGCCCAAAAACTGGGAATAGGTTTATTGTATATGTTATGTTTTATTGTTTTGGGGCATTTATATGTTAAGATTCCTTTAGAACTTCATATCAATCTTGAAATGTTTTTAGTGATATAGGCCCATCACTTCAATGGCTGCTGAGAATTGGAACTTAACTTGTTTGACCCCATGTTATTTTCTGTGATGTTTTGTCATAAAACCAATGAATTGAAAAGAAATACTTTCTCTTTTCAGTTTTAATATGCCTTTTAAACACATTTTTATTTTTTAACGATCCATGTTTTCTCTCTTCTCTACACAATATTAATTACAACAAGAAACATTTCACAGTAAACTCCTTTTTTCTACACTTCTGTGACCATGCGATCTCCTTTTATATCATGAAAAGCATGTGAATATGTGTGTGGCGGGAATCAAATGGCAGGAAATGTATCAGGAGCAAAGTAATATTATAATACTTTTGCGCTCAAACCAAAGGAGCAAAACGGAGTATCAACATAGTATACAAAGATGTCAAAAGGAGCATATTCAAAGAACAGCATTGAATGGTACAGAGTATGCATCAAATAATTGTTATGTTAGCGACATGTTTATGATGTGGCCAGAGTTCTTTCCTAGCGTTCACTTTTTCTTGAGGATAGTCTCTATGAACACAAACGAGCGAATCAACAGTATATAGTCTACATCGCGTGTTTCTTGAAATGATACTAGGATATGTCTAGAAATATCCCGGCCTAGGATGAACTTACGTCAACTCACCCTTAATGCTCTTAGGACAAAATTTCAATGTTCAAGTTAGATTTTACAACTTATGTTTGAAATGCGGAAGAAGCACAATACAAGAAACATGCAACTTTCTGTTTAAAGAGTAATAACTTTTAATTTAATATCGTGTTTAATAAAAATGGAATACGTCATTAATTGCCCTTTTAAAAATATCCATACTAAATTTGTAAATACAACCAATAAAACTGTGGTAACTTAAAAAAGGAACTAAGGTTTTTGGTTGGAATTTCTTATATTTTTTCTCAGTATACATACATATAGTTAAAATAATAATGACAGGCACGCCATCTAATTAAAAAATAAACTAACATTCTTGAATTAGCTTTGGTACTGAAAGAAATTTTATTTTTAAGAAAGTGTATCCTGATGTTTTTTAGGAAACTTCTGTCAAAATATTCTTAATTTGCAGGAGTAAAATTCTGTAAAATTGTCTTACCTTTTCTTTCCTTCTCCTCATGCAATTGTGCGTTGAAAGCGATTCTCACTTTCTCATCATCGATACTCTTTTCGAAATTGATAATTGCTATCAACCGCTGAAATGAATAATTGAAAAACATATGTGTTTTAAGATTCCAAACGTTTGCATATAAATAAATAAACTAAATATATGTAACGTGACTAAGTGCAAAATACATTTAATCAGAAGGATGCCCTTTTGAAACGTTAAATATATAAATGAAAATGACATGAGAGAGAGAGAGAGAGAGAAAGAGAGAAAGAGAGAGTATACCTCATCTTCGTCATAGTCTTGCATTTCGCTGTTGAACATGACTTTCATACAATCGATATTCTGGCTGTACAATTTCAAGCCTTCCTTTGAATCAAACCAAATCTCATTTTGTTTAATGATGTCATCGTGAAGCTTTTCAAGAGCTTCTAGTAAAGTGTGTAGAACCAGTGCACTGTTTTGTTCACGAAATTCATCAGCAATTGTCTTCATTTTTTTCTGAGAAGTTAAAGATATTTGCATTTTATTTGCCTTTTTGTATTAAGGTTTAAACAAACATTTAACTTATAATATCATTTTTATTAAACTTTAAAGTTTTAATTTCTTGACGTCAATATGCAGTACTTAAAACGTAGGAATTTAAAATTTAAACAACATCCATACAGAGTATAAAGAGTTTTTTTGCATCTACATTTTTGTATTTTATATCCTTAGTTTTAACAATATTTTATTTATAAACATTACATTTACATGATAATTGACAAGTAATATATAGTACGGATTGAGTAGGAAGCTTGAAAAGTTTTTTTAGAAACTCACTATCTCAAAGAGTATGTAAAATGGTAACAATAATATGCATTTTTGTGTTAAATATACATAACATTTTCACTATAGCAATTTGCACTTTGGTCTTCCTAATCAAAACAACCTTAATAATAATATATAAACATAAAAAAGTGAAGGAAAATCGTATAGCTCTATAGCATAAATACACGTAATGCACAAATTAGGACGTTTAAACTTATCAAGAAAAATAAAAGAACTTTTAAACATGTTAAGAAAAATTGAAGAAAAATAAAGATATGGAAACGTAAGTTAATTTAATTGTTGTAATTGTTGGTTATTTTTTATCCTTATATACAATACCGCTAAAAAATGTAAAAATTACTACCAGACATATTAGATAATTGCTCACTCAGTTTTAAACTGAAAAATTAAAGCTTACATTTTAGATTTATTAATGAACGTGTTGCCAGATCATTAATGAAAACATGATGAAAAAATATAGAACAGAATCATACCATTGCTTCATCTTCAAAAATATTAACTTTGTACGGATACATCTTCTCCCTCAACTGTTTGAGCTTTTTGTTAAGTATCTCAAATGTTTTTCCTTCTATGTCCGTTTTACGCTTTACGGGCATTTTCATTTCTTTTAGTTCAGTTTCAAATTCATGTACAGATGTTACAACTAGCTTGCTGTTGTGAAACTTGGACACTTGATCAAATGCTTTCTCGTATGACAACATTGATCCTGTTCGCATTGCTCCCACATATGTTCGCGTAAACGATTCAAAGTCTGAAATCATTAGCAGTCATCAAAGACAACACCTGTTCATTGTACGGGCGATATATTATCTCTTCTATCAAGAGGAGCAACAATAAAAAAAATAGTTTTGTAATTTTCAATAACTGATTCCATTTATGTAGCATATTTTTTTTATACAGAACCATTTATATTTCGGTAAATTATTTGAATCCTCCCAAAATGAAAGAACGGCAAAGGTGGGGTAATACAAGCCGGAATGAAGGATATCATGGTGGGTGATTTGAACTATGTCGTATTTTCGCTCCACGAGGCACAAAATGAAAACATGATTACGAGAGTAACTACAAAAAATATTCAAATTTGCAAACTATTTATTTTTTCCCACTTCTCTAATTCTCCGATATTCTTTTTAATATGAATTTTATTCATGATGGAGGTGAACCGATTTTTTAATAAAACAGATCACTGTAAGAAAGCTCTCAACAGTAAAACTATTGATTATTCCTTAAATATGTATTTCTACATTGTGAAGTATGAAGACAAGTACAATCAATGAAATACATATATTTACGATGTTCGTAAAGATCATTCAGCATGCGATTATTGTTGTTGCCTTTTTGCTAGTTGGTTGTTCAGATATTCCTACTTGAATACTGAATTATTACCCTAAGGATACTTTGCATGCTTTTTAATGTCAATATTTTTAACCGTTAATGTTATATGCAGGCTCTGTAACGGATCGACAGCTTTATATGCTATGCATCGAATATCTAAACTCTTGACTCTGCAATTTCTTAATGTTAATTTCGTTTACAAGTAAATGTTTACTTAAAGGCTCATCATGCCCCAGAAATGCTTTTATTTTTTTCCCAAAAATCTTTTTAATCATAAGTGTACTTTTATTGTTGCAAAAGAGTTATTGGCCATATACCGGAACCATCTTTTTTATCTGTTGCTTTTCGGTAACTAGTACAGTGATAATGAATTAGTATTTTGAAGAAACATACTGTGTGGCAAATTATTTCAGATTTATCACTACTTTTTCTCTTAAACCATTATTTAAACATTATAAAATTCATATTTGCCCTTTCCTCAGAAGTAAAAAATGGTTTCTGTACAGAAAAAAATTTCTTTGAGCACTTGTTAAATTAAATGTTAACATTTTCAAAACTTAATACACCATGATATAAATAAAAAAGTAATACGAATCTGCTTATAACAAATGAACATTATGCTTAATTCGGCCTTTTAATGTCTTGTTTATTCATGCAAAAACAGAATCTTTATATTGATACATGTGTATATGATACTAAAATAGTTTTTACTTACCATAACCTTTAATTGGAGCCTTTGTTACGCCATCTGTAACTTTATGTTCACATGCATACACATATTCTTGAAGACTGTTACAGTCACTTACAAATTCGTCGTTGAGTTGATAATCCTCATAATCATCAACTTTGGCAAGCTTTCTGCCCATAGCTGGTTGTGCGAGCGTGAAGCATTTTCTTCTGGGAAAGTATTTTTTGATACATTCCCTCGTTTCGTCAATTTTCTCATTGCCTTTGCCGTCTGACCTTGATAAACATTTTTCAAAGTATTTATCCGGAGACATTTCTGTACCATCTTCGTCTTTCACCTCGAGATAAAAGTCTCGGAGACACAAAATGAAAATCGGAGTGATTATTTTCATAGTATCTTCATTTTCTTTTCTGTCTAATCTTGGCAAAACCTGTACATTTCTCGATACTCGTGTTATAAAACTGTCACATGTTAAAGGAAAAGTAACAATATCAGTATTGGCAAATTATTAAGATATAACACTAAAACTATGTCTCTAGTATTGAGTTTTAAATGTATATTCAACAGAAATCTTTAAGCGAAGTGTCAAAAATCTTAACTATTTTTTAAACTGAATCCGAAGATCAAAGGCCACTATAATGGCATATCTGTTTCTTTGGAAAAACACATCTAAATAATACATCTTCAAAAACTTAAGATATGAAAAGGATTAGTTTATAAACATTAAAATACTTTTTTTAGATTTGCGTACAAAGAAGGTCTATTCAAAAAACATTGATGCAAATATGTAGATCATCTACTTAAAACGTTTGTAGAGAAAATATCAATTGCAAAATGACGCATAAAAAAGAAATGCGTCGCAATGGTCATAACTGAAATCGTGCTAAGAATCTTACAGAACTATATGGATATAGTTCTTTTTATCTTTTGCATGTTGATCTATGAAATAATTTTATGTTTTATGCTTTAGAGCATCAGTGGAGACATGGTCCAAAATTCATAGCTGATAGTAAACAGCAAAACTGTAAGAAACTAGGTCAAACTCTAGGTAATCAAAATTTTAATTAATATCTTAAACTTTGCATATGGTCAAAATTTCGTACCTGTATATTAAAAACAAAAACACAGGTCACTATATCAACTTTATCAATAATATGATTTCAAAACTACACATTAAATGTGCACATTGTCAAAGTTTCAGCTCATATTAAAGTTCAATTCTACATTTGAAATTGTGTATATGATCTACATTTAATAGTTTAAAATCAAATAACAAAAACTATGACATAGAATCCCATTGCGTAGGGCAAATTTGGCTTTAATTCATACAATCCGAATATTGGTACACCAGACAATGTTTTAGAGATCATGTATTATAGTTTTTAATTATGTATATGAAGAATACTCATGACTACCAGGGCAATGCTTAATTTGACACAAGAGTCGTAATTTAAAAAATCTGTCTAGAGGACCTCATTGTTTTATGTTAAATGTTAAAGCAGTAGGACTTGATGCTTTGAAGGATAATTTTTAGCAATATTTTACTATATTTGCACACCTCCTCTATTGTTTGTGACAGGTCTATATTTTTCGGATAGACCTGTTTAAACAAAAGAAAGTCCGTTATAAGGTCTATTTTTTGCACGTGCACAGGTCAGTTCTAGACAGACAGACCCGGTCATGAAATACACGTGAAAAAATAGACCTGCCTATGCGCAGACAAAGAAAACATGAAATGCAATCAAAAATTAAAACCACTTTAACTAAGCAATTACTCCAGCATCCCTATATTAAATCTTTTCAATAAAATTTAATATAATGGATAGCATATCAGAGTTAGGACACATTTAACATTTATTTAATCTCGTAATTTTTTAAGTAATTTTAATTCTGTCATTAAGTTCATAATATAACAAAATTAACGCTTAAACTTCATATGTATGAAACTATATAGCAGAAATCACATCATACTCATGACCATTTTAAAATGTTAATAAAGTTATAGGTGATTTAACTTAAAACATTTTATGATGAACGAACATGTTTTATTCTAAAACAATTTATAATCTATAAAATATAGTTTCGGTTTATGTATCTCACACTTGCCAACAATATACATATGTAAGTATTTCGTGGTCTGCTGGGTATCCACACATTGCCCTTCGGACAGTTGCCCCCTCGCTAGTTTGCCCCCATTTTGCAATGGCGGTCTCTACTGCCCCCCCCTCATGTCTTTGGAAGGGGCGGACATTTGTCCCCCTCCCTGTTTTAAAAAATATTTTATTGTTGAATATTTGCTACCATAATTCATCGCCTATTGTGCTTAAATACACAAAAACTCTCGCGCAAATTTGTGAAAGTCAAAATAGCATCCATAAATAAATAAAACTAAAATGTTTCCATTGGCAAATATAAAATCTATACACGAGATGACAAGTCACAAGTCGCAACAGCAACAAGGGGGCATACGTCCGCGGGGCAAATGTCCGAGGGCAAATGTCCTAGAATCTGAATTGTCGGATACGAAATACTATCAACATAATTATTCAATACTTTTTATAACAGATCTATTCACTTTATATTTTGACAAATTGCACATTTGGCTTTTTTGATTTTTTGATTTTAAAGGGGAAAGCAAAGTATATATTGTATTTAAGCAGAACTTTAATAAAAGCTTACCTGTTTTTGCGTTGTATTACAAATAATATTTGTGCATTTCAACAAATTTCAAGCCAATATAGTTTAACGGTGTGTAAGTTGGATATCGGCCTCGTTCATCGATCTTTCTTATAAGGAAAGACCTGGTCACGAATTTCATGAAACACCTCGAGCGCTACGCGCTCTCGGTGTCACATGAAATTCGTGACCAGGTCTTTCCTTTACAGAAAGACCTCGTACTCGGTCGATATCCTATACGTACATACTAAAATCGTTTGTCACATCGACGCGGAGGCAATGTTTGCATCCAACATGGCTAGAACAAACTTGGTAGAAGTGCACTTCACAATGTAGGCTAAGCAAATTTTGACATATAGGCATAATTTGTTGAACTTTGATCGAGGTCTACTAGACAATGTCTTTACTACATTTATACAAGGAAAAACTAACACTGCCTAAGAGCAGGGTCTATCTTGACCCCAGGGCTATAATTTGAACAAACTTGATAGAGGTCCGCAAACAAAGATCCATGCCAAATATCTCGACTTAAGCCTTTGTCATTTCGGAGGAGAATATCTTTTAATAAGGTTTTTACTATATACATATAAGAAAAACTATGACCGTCGAGGTAGGGCAAATTTTGAACCCAGACCAATAATTTGAACAAATTTGGTAAAGGTCCACTACCCAAACTTTCATGCAAATGATATCTAATTTGAAGCTTTTGTCATTTAAGAGCAGACAATTTTAAGTGTTTACTTTCTACATATCAGCAAAAAAAATATGAGACGGGTTCAGTTTTGACCCCAGGGCTAGGATATAAGTTGTCTCTAGGGAACTTAAACAAAAAAACATTCATTGCAATCATTCTAAAAGGATACGCTAATTTTTCAACAGCATCTTGATTGAAAACGCCCGTGTTATTGTAAATGAGTGTGCTACTGAGAAGCATTGTGAGACTAAACATCTTGTTATCATGTTCAGTGTCCCCCTGAAATGGAAAATAATTCTTCTTAAGTCAAACACATCATCGTAAGAACATAATAGAAAGGAATAGTCCTACAAAACATTTTTGGTGACAAGTACAATTCATATTTCATATTTGATACTGAGAAATCTCATTTGAATAAATCATCATGTCGATTTTGTCAAAGAATGAATCAAATACATAAATATTTAACAAAGTAATGACAATTTTTAAAAGTAAATTTCAATAATTTTATCCCGACAGCCAAGATCAAATGAGGTCAAAGTCATAATGAAACTATTGAACGTGTCTGTCTTGTCAAACGTGTTCTTCTGTCCAAGTGTAAATAAAGTTTGTAAATAAATAACAAAGTTTTTTCAACTAATTTCAATAATTTGCCGATGACTGTCAATGTTAGTATGTCAAAGTTCACATTTATATCAAAGGATTCAACATGTTTGTCTGTCCAAGTATTAATCCAATCTGCAAATAATGATAATTTACGCAAATTTCAATAATTTTACATTGACGGTCAATTGACAGCCAAGGTTAATCAAAGGTTTTGTCAAATCCGTTCTTTTGTCCACGTATAAATCAAATCAAATTAAAATCAAAGTAAAGACAGTTTTAGTTAATTTTATTAACTTGACCTTAACGGTCAAGATAACAAATTTCACTGTCATATTTGAATTATACAAAAACAGGTTTTGTCATTGTGGTTCTTTATCGTTAACTCAAATCCACAAATAAACAAGAAATGCCGAACGACACATATGCCACCTTTCTAGCCCTTAACTAACATTATTGGTAATTTTGTAAGACAAATTTGCCATAAATGGGTACATGGAAGTGTTCAAATATGGAAATGAGAAAAAATGAAGACTTTGTGATAAATAGTGTTCAAGATAATGGGACATTTAAGGCCCCTGTGACATAGACCTTTGAACAAGTGAGCCAAAATCAATAGGGGTCATCTAATAGTTATGACCAATCAATATTAGAAATATCAAGACTTTGTGATAAATAGCTTTCAAGATAATGAGCGGAAACCATACTAACATTCAAATACCCTGTGACCTTGACCTTTGACCTAGTGACCCAAAAATCAATAGGAGTCATTTTCTAGTTATGACCAATCACTATGTGAAATATGAAGACTTTGTGATGAATACTTTTTTTTGATAATCAGAAACAACCATTCTGACATTTAAGGCCCCTGTGACCTTGTCTTTTAAGCTAGTGACCACAAAATCAATTAAGGTCATCTACTATTAATGACCATTCACTATGTGAAATATGACAACTTAGTGATGAATACATTTCAAGATGATCAGTGGAAACCATTTTGACATTTAAGGCCCCTTTGACCTTGACCTAGTGACCCCAAAATCAATAGGGGTCATCTACTAGTTATGACCAATCACTATGTGATATATGAAGACTTTGTGATAATAGTTTTCAAGAAAATCAGCGGAAACCATGTGGTCTTCAAACGGATAGACCGACACACAGACTGACAGACAAACAGTCCGACATTAGCAAAACAATAACCCTCTCTTCTTTGAAGCGGGGCATAATAACAAAGTTATGGTTAACTGTAGTAAAATTCACTTATTTGACCTTAAGTGTCAAGGTCACGGTCAAGTGCACTTAAATCTTTTGTAATGTCTTGTCGCATCTTGTTTTGTTCATTAATTACAAAGTTTTAGCAATTTATAGCAAATATCTGAAGTTACAATAATTTACCTCTAATGTCAAGGTAGATATTGGTCAACGTCAAATTGAAATTAATGTTCCGTAAGACATTGTCCTTAAGGTAGTTGTGCTTAAGTATTAAGACCATTCATAAAAAACATAATTGCAAATTCGCGCCTGCTAAATAACAAATTTAAGAGTCAACAAAAATATAAAGTTGTCTAATTTTATATATTTTGCAAATCCTGGATGCTATGATTTAATTAAAGTTTCACGGGAACGTAAGGTTATCAGAGATGTTAAATTTCCGATCCCTGAATGTCGTTCAGCACGACATTTTGTGTTTGTGGTACATTTTAGTTTTAACTTTTCGGAATTTTTCTACTTGGGTGGTTCTTATATTCCTATTTTAATAATGTTTATATACTCTTAGGATATGTTGCCTGCTTATCAATTTTGTCTTTGGACGTCTAATCTGTGATACGCAAGCTTCATAAAATAAGACCCCCTTTCAAAATTCCATTTTATTTAGTTCTGCCCATAGTTTTCTCGTTTAGGGCAAACACATTTTTTAACTCGGGACCATACGACGCTTTCTATGTAATGGCACTAATGTGTCACATTGAATGTTTCATGATAACCGCCGAATAAACACATCTGCGGATGTTTCTTAATTCAAATTTTTCATTTTTAAAATGTTGAATTATGCTTAAGTCGGTGCCAGGGGCTTGCACGGTAGTTTGCACCAGACAGTGTTGTTCATGAACAGACTCAATCAAGCTGAGCCTGCAACATTTTCATCATTTCTTTAGGGTTTCCTATTTTCTCTATTTGAAAAATTTCTGCTTGAATTGTAGCCACAGCTTTGTATCATCATGAAAGAGGTATTATTGACTTTTTACAGAAAACTAGATTAAAGAGGAATACCTTTATAGTTGATGTTTCGTCTAGAAAGCAATGAAAATGTTACTCGGAACGAAAAATTAATTTATAAACGAAATTTTTATTTAGTTTTCGGGAGTACAGGAGGTACTAGTAGTCATGTTGCCAAGTGGATAGGCCTATAGTTATATTCTTTATGTGCGACTTTTCTTATGTATAGGATAATGTAATAATTCTATATGTGCGACTTTTCTTATGTAACTTTTGCTGTTCTTTGTTTACACTCCTGATTTATTTTCTATACTGACATGCTTCTGATTGCTAAATAAAACGAACATTGATAAGAAATGAACTAGCACTACAATAAATACTAAAATTGAATGATCTTAAGTCAGACATTTGGCATAAATGTTATAGTTATAATTACGGTCATATAGGTAATTTCAAGATTGTTTTTGCTTGAGGTTTTTTTTTAACAATAGGTTAAAAATAAAATGCATAAGAAGCTCATTCGCCTGCAAAACAGCCAACTAATATATGATTTTGAATAAGACGCATAGTTTACTGCAGAATGACAGTGTTAAGTTTTACGAGTCGTTATTAAAAACGCCATCACACACATCAGCTTTACACTTCATGACCAATTTTAACTGACTTTGTTACAAAGCATTTTATTAACATTTTCTTCAAATGGAAAGACAATGTTTTCTTATCTCCGTGTTCAAATAATGAACTGTGCAACTGTCAGCAGGTGTCAAGTGCTGTATGGCACCCTTACTTCACTTCAGTGTTGTTATATTTTTCTGGACCTTCGGGATCATTGAATCCAGCACTTTAAGTTTTGATAATTGAGCACCGCTTAAGCGAATTTTATGGAGCATGAGGGGTGTTGCACTTTTTCATTATCCCTCATGTACAGACTCAACCTAACCGATTCTGAAATTTTCATGTAATTTTGCTGTTTTTAATGCTTCCGATGGATCACCTTTTTCTAAATATTTACCAATATTTAATATCATGGAGCAACGCTAAAATTAAATTATGCGAAAACAAGTGTCCTCCACCTAGACTTACGCATTTGGAAAAATCGCATCGGTGTAAGAGCTGTTAATAAAACATCTGAATTTTTCAATATATTCATTTGTTGACTTCTAGAAACTAGGAAATACGTTCGTGTTGAAGAAATGTATCTTTTAAAGTTTTGTATTTGTCTTATGAGATGATTTGGACTGTGCGTTCACAGTTCTGTTCTCAAAAACATCAATAGCTGCCTTGTATATAGTAAAGCGAGGTCACACGTGTGCTGTTTTATACTGGTAAGATTTGGTAACGTTTTTTTTGCCTTAAATGTCTTATGTACTACGTTTATGCTCTAAATTTGATGTTTAATCGTTGGTCATTGGCTTATCAAAAGTTTTTGTATCGTTTAGTCGGGATATAATTAATTTAAGTTCAAAGCATTTTGCTAAACCATTACGAGCAACACTTTCTAAATAATATTTACACGCATATCGTCGAATTCCTGACACATTACGGCACATTACGGCATAGACTGAAGTGTACCCGTCCTGTCACAATACAAAACAAATATTACAAAATACGGACGTTAACGGAATTTTCTTGTCGTAACGCTTTTCCTTTAATTTAAACAACTGTGCAGATCTAAACAGACATTTGTCTTAGTAGCATTTTGTTGGGCTATTCTAAAGGTATGTAATGTACAGCTGACCATTCCTTCGCAGCCATTTTACGCGTGCGTAAAACCTTGCTTGTTATCTTAGGCGTTGTTACAACAAGTAAAGAAAATAAGTAACGTTTAAATGTGTGTTAGAATTGCCTGGGCTCCTTGTCACTGGGTCTTGTTGCTGGGTCGTGTGGGGGTTGCGTTCATTGAACGCCTACTTTCCTTGTTGATCTTGTTTGTCTTATTTCAGACCCTGTATCCTGATATTTGGTTTAGATTTGCAATAACTCCTGCTTCAGCGAATGCATATTATAAACGAAGTAGTTATATTTTTTGTATGTAACATGTAACAACTTCAGAATGAGTTTTAAGATATAAAAGTGTGAACTGTCTTACATTACTTCACAATGCAGGATGAAATTTCGTATTTCAATTTTTTTCTAGAAACATAATTCAAGTTGACATAGTATAGCATTCTTTGAATTTTGATATACGATGCAATGCAGTGACATTATGCTCATATTTTCATAGTCAAGTTGAGCTGAACTGACTATATATTTCAAAAGATTGACTTTTAAAATGGTGATTGACCAACAGTTCATATTGGAAAAAGTTTAGGATAAAATTTAAATCTGCCTAAAGTATAAAAAGACCGCCCCCAACTTTTTATGAAATGAACGTTACAAGACAATTCTAGCGGATATTTACGAAAATGTCGTTTGAATCCATGCGTTGTTTACTGTTAATACGAAATAAACATTTATATTTTAAGGAATTATGGCAAAATGAAAACTAAATATGACATTCACTTGTTCACTCATTTATACCATTGGATGAGCATATGTCACTTTAATTTTTTTTTATATAAATAGACAACACACTGTACCTTTGTTGGTAATAAAATTCGGCGACATGCACTACCTCGGAAGTAGCGACAGAGCAATTAACCGTATTTCCCTGAATGACCTAGCACTGTTGTTAACCATGCGTGCTATTATAGCAAAAATCACACAAAAATCATTTATTTGACCTTCAAAAGAAAGGTAATTCAAGAGTGAAGTTCATATTCAATTAAGTTCTTAAAATATCTGGTTCAAATGAGAGCTGTATGATCCTAGTATGTAGTCAAACAAAACAGGCAAACATGGGTAATATATTTTTGATAATGGCTTTAGGAGGTGTGTCTTAAAAGCTGACCACGTGATAAAGGTTGGGTAGATATAAAACGATTTGTCAAAATTACAAATGTGTTACAAGAATGATAACTTGTTTTCCATACATAATACTGAATAAAATCTGTTAACCATTTTATTATATAAATAGAACGATAATTATCAGTTTAAGAGATACAATAATATAAGTCGTTTATATATACAAAAATGTTTGATGAAGATATTAATAGAGTTTTACCTTGACTACATCCCCTAAACCTTCTGTATCAAGTAAAAGTAAAACTTGTTCTGTTTGTGTTGGATGAGGTTTACACCAGGCCCAAATACCCTTTGTCTCAGACCGAACTGTGCTCCCAAGTGAAAATCCTTTATAACCCAAGAAAAAAAGCAATGCAAACAAGCAAAACAAAAACAAGCAAAACAAAACAAAACGATTGAAACACAACGCACACAAATAAAAAAAAATACATAACGAAAGTAAAGTAAAATATTACAATATTTTAAAAGAGTAAATTCGGTGCTAACTAAACAGTTATACATATTTGACTCAGTCTGAACTTTGCTATGTAGAAGGAAAAAAAGTATCCCCTGTACTAAGAGTTTCAGGGAGATTAATATCAAAATACAAAAAATGAGCTAACAACAGTGTAAGCCTGGGTATTTAAGCAAAGAAAAATAGTATGAAAATAATATATTCTATAAACTACCTGTGCAAATTTAAATAACAATAGGAATACGTAGTTTATAAACGTTATCGGAGCATGCAAATACCTTTCCTTTCCTTCGCCAACCTGTTCATCAGATAAGACTTTCCTGTCCTATATAAGCCACATACAGCAACAACATTTAACGTTACATCTATACTACTTATCTGTGCCATAACATCTTCTGAAATTTTCAGGTTGTTGTCACTGTCAGAGTAGATAAACAACACAGGTTTTTTGAATACTTCTAGCCTGCCAAATCTGAAACAAATATGAATGTACTAGATTAAGTAACACTTATTAAAAATGGCAATTAAGTATATTTGCAGCAAATGACGTCTGCTCAAAATCTTTGCTGCTAAATGGTTCAATATGATAAACAAGATCAACAAGGAAAATGGGCGTTCATTGAACGCAACCCCCACATGATCCAGCAACAAGAGCCAGTGGCAAGGAGCCCAGGATGACCCCAGACAAAAACAGGACAGAGCACAATGCAGAGCACGGCCAGGTTAATTACTAAATCATACATGAGGAATAATAAGAAACTGATAAGGAATTCAAAGAAAACAAATAAATAATCGAAGTATAGGCCCATAAAGTCAAAGGGCACAGGGGAAGGGGACAGGAGACCCGGGGAAGGGTCAAACCATGGCATTTTGTTAGGAACATATTTTTATTCTATTTATGTTTAGGAGTAACCCTGAAACTGTCTATTATGTGAGAGAATGGACAAATTGAGGCGTTGTGTGGAGTTTGAGGAGTTTCTCTTCCTTAAAACATGTCCTCTTTTGGGAATAATAGCACTTTAAAAACAATATTAAAGTGTTTGTCATCAATATCTTTCAGAATGGGCATCCAGGTCATTAAACATTTATTTTCCTTTTAAAGTTGGTCTAACATTTTTAAATGTTTAACCGCTTAGTCTATTTCTTTGATACTTACTACAATAAATGAAACTATTATTTTAGAGTAAACTTCCTTACTATATTGTTGACAGGCGAACAAAATTTCTTATAGAAAATAGAAATAAATCGCGGTTTTTTAAATCGTAGATAAAGTAAAAATTAAAACTGCCATTCAAATTATCCATAAACAGTAAAAGACATGCATACAGAAACCATTTAAAGCTTTTTTTTGAAACTACAATTACATGTGCATACATATTTTGTCTGTAGCATTGCCTAGTAAACCTCTTGTGGTACTCTGTAAAAGCTATATAAATCATGCCACTTTGTCAAAGTTGTTTCTAGCACCGACGGTCACTGACTTTAAATACAGTGGAAAAATGTTTGATATAACTGTTGGCATTTGTACATCTTATTAATTGAACATAGCTTCAAGAACAAAATTAATTTATGTACAGTTTAAAAATATGCGAAACTGAAACTATTCAGATTAAAATATCAGACACTCACCTTTCTGTTAAACTAAACTGAAATATAAATAAGAACGGTTTAAATGTATTAATATATGGGCGAATGATCATATGTCTTTGGCTACGGTAAAGTTGAATTTCAGTGTATTTTAGAACACATGACTTGAAAGAATTGTTTGCTTTTTTGACATACTTGTTAATTATAGAATCAATTATATAGATCTTGTTCCAGTAAATAATTTCCGATTCGAGCAATACCTTTTTCACATTGGCAAATATGTTGATCCATTTAAATTGATTTCGACTGTTGAATTCCAATTTAAAGGCACAGTAAGACTCAGAAATGCTATCATTTTGTTTTTGCACATACTTTTCATTTTTGGTGTTCAAAACGGTACTCATTGGCATCTTTTGCGTTTTCGAAGAGCACAGTCAAAGTGAGATAGTAGTTGGTTGGAAGTCAAAATACTACTTTGTTTACACTTTGCTACCTTTATGACAATTTATCTCCAATCCAGTTCTAGTTTTCTTCATGTGATATGCATATCACACGTTCGTTCCAAAATCCATTATTGCAACATTTTCAAACATGTAATATTTGTCTTTTCTGCAGAACGCAATATTAAGTCTTTTCTGAGGCATAATTTACTTTTATTTAAATGAGATAATAATAATAATAATGATAATAAAATTATAATAATAATTATAATAGTAATAATAAAATAATAATAATGAAACTTACTTTATCTGACGGTGTAGGTGTTATAACAACGTCGTCAAAAATTTCATCTGACATCATGTATTGTATCTCCATCATAAGTCTTTCTTGTTCCTTTTCCTCCTCACTCATATTTCTTTCTGGATCATTTAATGGAAAAGTGTGAGAGAAATCACGTGAAGAGGCATCCGTCTTCTGAGAAGGTCCTGAATGGGTTTTATACATCACTGTCTGATTTAAAATTGAATCGAACTGGAATTAGAAAACAAAATTTTGAGTAACCCCATTTATTTGCTCCGTCACATAACCACAGTTGGTCAAAGCACATTCTTTTTGTAGTTGTTTTTTTCAGGCAATTTTAAATACAAAATAAAAGGTATTCTAACAACAAGAAGCCATGATGGCCCTAGATCGCTCACCTGACCCATTGAACTAATCCGAACAATTACCTAGACAAGAATTCATACCAAGTTTCATGATAGGTGAATCAAAAATGTGACCACTAGAGTGTAAACAAGGATTATCCATATTTGAGCAGTGTGACCTAGTTTTTTACCCAGGTGACCAATATTCGAACTTGACCTAGAAATTATCAAAACAAACTTTCAAATCAATTTTCAGGATACTTGGATCAAAACAGTTGCCACTAGAGTGTTAACAAGATTTTTCCATGTTTAGCTCCGGTGACCTTGTTTTTCATGCGAGATGACTCATGTTCGAACTCATCCAAGCAATTAGCTGGATAAACATCCTGACCAAGTTTAATTATAATTGAGTCAAAAATGTGACCACTAGTGTTAACAAGGTTTTTCCATTTTTGGACGGTGTGACCTAGTTTTTCATCCGAGATGACCCATGTTCAAACTTGATCTAGAAATCATCAAAACAAACCTTCAAACCAATTTCAAAGATATATAGATCAAAACAGTAGCCACTTGAGTGTGAACAAGATTTTTCTATTTTTAGCTCCTGTCACCTAGTTTTTCATTCGAGATGACCCATGTTCGAACTTATCTGAGCAATGACCAAGACAAGCAGCCTGACCAAGTTTGATGATAATAGAGTCAAAAATGTGACCACTAGAATGTTAACAAGGTTTTTCATGTTTGGGCAGTGTGACTTTGTTTTTGACCCCAGGTGACCCATATTTGAACTTGACCTAGAAATCATCAACCCAAACTTATAACTAATATACAGGATATTTGAACCAAAAAGTAGCCACTAGAGTGTTAACAAGATTTTTCTATTTTTAGCTCCTGTGACTAGTTTTTCATCCGAGATGACCCATGTTCAAACTCCTCCGAGCTATCACCTAGACAAGCACCCTGACCAAGTTTGATGATGACCGAGGCAAAAATGTGAACGCTAGAGTGTAAACAAGATTTTTTTCTATTTTTAGCTCTTGTGACCTAGTTTTTCATCCGAGATGACCCATGTTCGAACTCATCCAAGCTATCAACTAGATAAGCATCCTGACAAAGTTTGATGATGATTGATGCAAAAATTTGACCGCTAGAGTGTTAACGAACAAGACTGGACGGACGACGGACATTTAACGATCCAAAAAGCTCACCCTGAGCTAGCTCAGATGAGCTAAAAATTATGGACACTTAAACATAGATAGAGCAGAGAACAGTCAAACAGACAAAAAGGACACGAAATACAAATACGCTTGCCCACGCACGCTCGCAAATAAAAAGACGTGAAAAATAAAAATAAAAGAAAACTTTCCTACACATGAAAGATTATTATATATACATGTGTAATTTATATTTTCTCATATCACAAATGTAAAAAAAAGAGACAAAAACAAAAGAACATCATGAACCATTCTTTCCTTGCGACATCTAAAAGTATTTTTGCGTTGATCTTAAAAGTAAAACATCCATAAAGACCCTTCAGGTGATAATGATCTTAATTTAGGCAATAAAAATTAAAAGGTCAAACAAGTTCAGGTCCGTGTCTAGATTGAAATAATGATAATAAATAAAGTTAGGCATTTTAATCGATTCTCTAATTTCACTTAATTTTGCAGGCATGATTAATTTTTGGTTTTCTCCGTAAGGACTTCTTTTTAGACTTTTTTATTCCAAGATTTAACATAACTTATTTTACAGCCCATGAAATAAAATGTCGTTGGCTTGAATTCATTGAATTATAACCACGACATTAGTGTCCCACGAATCATTATTTTTTTGTAGTGTTAATGACAAAAGCTATAGCAAAAGATTCCATATTTCATTTAACCAAAATAGGGTATTTTTGGGATTACTGCTTATTTATAAATTTATATTGCTACGAAACGAACATTTTAATTCCTACAAGAAATACAGAATTGATAAGCATTATACATCGGTACACAAACATTTCAAAATATGCAAAAAATAAGTTATTTCTTTTTGTTAGAAAACAATTCATCACAAATGTAGCCAAAAATATCACATTCATTAGTGTATAAAAAGGGTCTTTCAGTATTAAAAAATCAATTGTTTTACAATATTGCACTGCTAAAACAGGTGCTCAATTGTGTCTATGTCATTGTTGCAAAAGGTACATACAGGTCCGCTATGTTACATGTTATAAAAAGATTTTGCATCCTTGTCATTTGATTCAACATTTCTTATGTAAAGTGGTAAATCAGTACTTAATGTTATTTTCGTCAACATGCAGCTTCAAAACAACTTAAGATTTAGCCACAATTGGTTACATTTTGAAAGTATGATTCATGTGTTAAATTAATAACCTACGTGAATCACAATAAATATATGCATGTAATTTGGAACATTTCATTCACTTTCAGTTTAAAAAAGGAGTGGGGTAGTCGTTTTATATTTTAGGCAGTAATTATATTTTATCATTGACATTTTACTTATTAAATTATTCAATTCAATTATCATTATGCAATTATTGCTCACAGGCCATTATATAAGTCAACTTTTTAAATATATAGTCAATTTAGCACAACTCGACAGCAAAAAACTGAATAAACACAATGCCACTCAAGACAATAAAAGGACCTAAGTATTTTCAGAATTTCTTTTGTGTGAAAATCTGCACTTATGAGATATTCACAGCTGTGAAATTGCAAATTAATATCTCGAATACTTAATGAATTGTATCTTGGATTATAAAAAATACAGGACAATGACAAAAAAATGCAGTCTTACTGCCCTTTATCTATCTATGAAGCTGAAATATCTTTTAAACACAATAGTTATGTAAGATACAAGTACACGTTAAGGCTGGTATTCCATTCATACGTGAGCGCAACGTAAACGTTCAGAGTGAGCGTGAATTCGACGTGAGGCGTAAGTATTCACGCTCACACTATTCCATATATCCGGGTAGCGTGAAAACTGTTTCGTCCATTTTTGTTGGAAAGAAAATATGTCATTAGATGAGTGGTCGCAAATTCTTACTCTCTTGGGTGGTTTTGCTTATATATATGCACGCAAGTACAAACGAAAACACAGATGGTGGATATGTAACATTAACAAGAACAGAGGAATCTTTGGAACAGACCACCTCTTAGTGAAAGAGTTAGAACTCATTGAAGAAGAGTTTGTGTGTTTCTTTCGTTTAAACAAGGAACAGTTTGGTCGTATACTAGTTGCTGTTGAAGAAGATCTGACCTAGCGACATGTTACAAGGGACCCAATCGGTGCCAAACAACGACTAGCTATTTGTTTGAGGTAATGTGTATAAAAACAAACTTTGTTAACAATAAACAAATTTTTAATGTTCTTTTATTGCAAAAAATGCAAATACAAGTGAAAATGCCTTAAACAATTCAATATCTATCAAACAGAACACGTTTTTAAGAAAGTAATCCATATAGAATAAAATAGCAAAGAATCATACAACTTCTAAACATACTTGTTACAGTAAAATCAAGTGTACATATTATAGAAAACTCAAAAGTAGATCTCTGCTTGCTACATTATTACAAAAAAGGTAATTTTCAGCCATCAAATATATAGCATAAACACACAACCATTAGAACAACTTGAAACAAGAGCTGTTCTGTTTTATCTTCAGAAAGTTCTCGAATAAATCTCGTATGATTTCTGTTAAACATCAAACACAAACAAAAACAGTTATTGGAACTAAAGGTAGAGAGTTGTTCACTCTATAGTATGTGTGCAAGATTTGTAGAATTTATTCTTGTAAGGCAGCCATAGCATTACCAAGAATGTCGAGACCACTTTGTGGTTTATCTGTTAGGTCACTGTCTCTTGGCGTTAAACTAACCTCTCCTGACTTGTCTGGATACTTTAGCTGTTTGTGTACTTAGAAGTGGTCCAATCAAGTGATGTTGTGTCATATCTTTAGGAACAGGTGATGTTGCTGTTGAACCTAAGCTGTGATCTTGCGATGGGGCGGTTGTAAAGTTCTTTTGCATAACACCTTGCTTCTTAGCGCATTCCGCGCTATATAGAAGAGTTGCAAATTGCATTTTTAGCCATCCCTGTGTTTCTTTAGAAAGTTGTTTAGCTCTTAACGAGCAGCTTTCAAAGAAAGCATCCATTGAATGGCGTCCTTAATGCGCCTTGGTTGCTAACTCTAGCCTACGCGACTTCTGCCTGGCAAATTGCATACAATTTTCTTCATATTCTGTCATCTTTTGCCGTTCCAACGGTGGCCACCCTTTGCCCTTAACAGTGGACAATAGCTCGGTGTTTCGTTGTCAAACTTGATGTCTGGTTTCAGGGTAACACTGATTATTTCTATCGGGTGTATCACAAGCAACTGAGCTACCTGACACCGTTTGTGGCTGGCATACCTGCGTCTTACTGCTATGTTCGTCGTTATTTGTATTTCTGAAGGGCAAAAGATATTTAACAAATTAAAACTAGATCAATCAAACATTTTATAAGTGTGAAAAAATGCGTCATTTTTTGATATATTTTAACTTGAAGGTTTGGCAGAGAGTAAAATTTCGCAAAGAATATGATAAACGTTGTGATAGACCGTAACGTATTCAAAACATGTGTACAGGTACAATAGTGTCAAAACTTAACTCTAAACATCATAACAGTCTCCGGATTATAATAATGTAGCAAACTGTGTTTTGCTAATTTCTATAGCTTTCTAGCAACCGGAGAGACATTTGTATCATTGAGCTACTCGTAAAGGGTTGGGCAGACAACAATCACTCGTATTTTGTACAGGGTAGTGGTGGTCAAGGCTTGCACCATTCTACATGCGGATGCCTACTACTCAGCACGACTGGCTTGAAATCGCCTCGAGAT